CGTATTCCTTTAGCTTTTTGTTGATTGAATTGAGCTCTTCTTCAGTCCTTCGGATGTCGGCGTCCTGCTTTCGAAGTCCCTCATTAAACACTTTCATACCATCCTGTGCTTCTCTGACAGTGCGCTTAAAAAAATTTTTACTCAATTTTCTGAAAGCTTTCAGACATGACCACCCACTCTTACAATGATGTATACCTGAGCTTCTTCGACTTCACTTTCCAAAACTTGCAAATCGTCCTCTACTGCCTCAAGTTTTTTTTGCATAGATTCAAATTCAACTTCATCCTCCGCAATGGACTTTTGCAGAGAAGCCGTTTCTTCCCTAAAATGTAAAATATTCTCAAAACCGCCTGGTAAACCACAATCCAACCGCTTTGAGAAATGTATGATAAGAAAACTGAGAAAAAGCATTACCGAAGCGCAGTGAGTGAAGCTTTTGCTTTTTCAAAACTATTTTTCAATTCCGCAAGCCGTTTCTCAGCAACAGCTAGCTCCTTCTGGGCTTGTTTCTTTTCACGTTCCTAAGTGCCAGCAAAAATCACAATAGATTCAGATCCTTTTAATAATATGTTAGTGGGGTTTTCAAATATTAAGAAAACCACAAGCGAAAAAAATAAGATAGTCAGGCCTGCATCGCACACAAGAAATTAAAAAAAGCGTTATCATCAGCAACGCAAACCAAAGAAAATAAAATTTTAATAATGGTTAAAACTCACTCTAAACGCCTTCTCGTTTCTCTTCTGCTCTTCGAAAGTTTCCAGCTTCTTTTCAAGTTCCGCCATTTCCACAGCACTAGATTCCACCAAACTACGCAACTGAGGTAACTCCTAAAAAATAAACTGGGCTCAACAATTTAAGCGAAGGACTAGTTTCATGCGCCTGTCTTTGCATCTCTTGCACCTTACTTAGGAAATTTCAAACTGACTAAGAGAATGACAATTTGTCGATGACAAAGTATCATCGTAACAACCACCGTCTGAAACAGTGGGTACCAAAACTACTTCAAATACAAGATTGTAATCCGCTGTTCTACTCCTGTCCTGCAGGAAGAAAATAGTGGGTTGCGAATTAAAATCCTCGAAGTTTCTTTTCACGCATAACTATAATAAAACCTCGTGTGCTACCTATTACATACTGCAGTCTGAAATGACATCACAAACCGTCTCAAGCTCTGCAATTTCATCAGCCAGTAGTTGCGTAGGGCTATGTTTAAGACTGTCGCATATTGCTTCATATTGTTTTGAATACTTCTGATTCCTGAGTTCAAGTTGTTCGAATCTGTTTTTTAACGGCAGCAGTCGTTTTAACTCACCTATTTGAAAAACTCGAATAATTAAAAGTCATCTGGAAGCAAGATAATACAAAATATTAAAAAGCTCATTTCCCCATATAATACACATTACAACCCAAAATGAATAGAGGTAGTCATTAAAAACAATTGCCGCAGTGATGTACCATCAATAGCCGCAAGGTTTGAATCAATCTCCATTATTCGTTCAGAGTTCTCAAGTATACTGTTCAACTGCAGAAGCACTGCTGGTCGATTTCCCCTTGACCCTAAACAAATAAAAATTTCTCCGTAGTAAGCACCAACAAATAATACAAAAGAATATTACCCCCGCTAAGGACACCAGCAGGACTGTAGTCAGAGCCACTCAAACTGACAGAACGAACGAGCACCTGAGAGTCAAACGTAACCTAAATAATCCAGAAAAAGCTATGAGAAACATTAAAAAGTCTCATACTTCGAAATGTTGTCGCGAAGCACTATAAGCCAGACAAAGAGACTATAGAGATAAGAACTTGCAAAAAATACTCAAATCCGGAACTGAAGAAAAGTGAAAAAATGCTACCAAATAACCACAAACCCGTTTAGCAAACTCATCTGACGTTGTAATTAAAGTATTTCCGAAAACATAACTCATTGCTGCTTCTAGTTCGAGACCATAATCCAGCAAATCTTTCGCCAAAAATACATTATCTTCGCCGACCTAAACTAAAAGTTTCGTATGCAAAAGCTTCTGCTTTTCAAGTCAGCATTTTCAACGTTCACTGTACCAAATCTTTGGCCCGTCTTAATTTCCTAGCATCCATATCTCTTCCTGCAACCTTATCCAATGGTATCATTGTTACCCGCCTTGAAAGATTCCCTCGCTCCAGCAAATCCCGACCAGTTCTAGCAGTATCAACCACAACATTTGATAGCTGAAAAACGGGTATTAAAAAAATAAAGCCATTATCAAAAAATGAAAAGAAGAAACCTGCAGAATGGCGTGAGCGTAAGAAAAGAGAGACTGTATTAATCAGTTACGATCCAACAAAGAAGTTGTAGAAGTAATCTCGTAGACGGAACCACTCGTGACTTTTTCGGTAATCCATATTAAACAAAAATGAGAATTTACTTTACGTGAACTTTTAACAAAGGCTTTATGTCACAAAAAACTTTTTTTCTTGCCGCTACTGGTAAAATTCCAATTAAAGTTATCCTCCCATAAAAGTTAAAAGATCTTCCGAACCATCTTTAATTTACTGCACCTCACGTAGTCCTAAAAATACGAGCAAGAAATGTGCATTAAATAGAACAAGAATAAGAAAAGAATAAATTAAAAAATTATGCCTTGTTTGGAAGACACAGGAGAATGGCACTCATTAATGATAAGCCATGCTTTCACGCAAAGCCAACAAATACTGCTAAAGATTATTGTACTGGCAAATCAACATGAAAATTGTTCTTCGTACAAATTAGAAATTGAACGAAGAGAAATTGTTACAAAAATATATGCAGCAAATATGACATTAATAAAAATTAAATCGCTTCCTTGAAGCAACTCGGGGAACTCGAAAATAACAATCACTACTTAACCGCTTAGTTTATCCATTTCCTCAAGCCAACTTTTATAATAGAGGATTAAACTTGCAGAACAAAATAAAATACAAATTGACAAAAACTGCAATTGAAAACTTGAGAGCAACCAAATGAAAATACTTTAATAAAGAAAGAAAAGTTAAAGCTAATATTAAAAATTTTGCAGTCTCTAAATTTGTAATTGATGTCAAATGAAGCCATCAAATAATAGAAAAATTAAAATTGGCTCTCCTCGAAGACAACAAAAACTAAATGTTTGCAGGAAAATGGTCAAAGCAGCAATCGTGTGAGGATGTCTTTTATCATAGTCAACTTTGTATGAATAGATAACAAACCAATAAACAGGAAATCGAGTAAGGAAATTCCAACTCCAGAGCTCTTCAAATGCGTTATTAAAGCACACAATTGTCCAAAGTGCAACAGGCTCTTTAGAAAATTAATAAAACAAAAACCTTGCGCCACGCTCCTTAAATCCATTTGTTCACAACTTTTAAAATTTTCCTCTGTCAAAAAAATGTCAAGGCGAATGAATAGTACGGTAATCTAAATTGCCCTTAACACGACCAACCACTGTGTCTACCAATGGCCAGGCTACGCTTAATGCCCTGCTGGAAGACAGCATTGATAAGAAAAAAATATATACCACTGAAACTGAAGACAACTGACCCTATTCTACGCCGGCGAAGAATGACACAAAAAATTCAGATTCTCCCAGCCTAGGTGTAAGAAACTTCACTGAAAAAAAAAAAAAAAAAAAAACTGCTGAACGCTACTGACACAACAAGGCCACTTTACACGAATATTTGTTTCCTTTAACATACCCTTCCTGGTTTAAAACAAGTCGTTTTAACATCCAGCCGCCTGGTGTAGCCAATCTGCTGCCCTCAACCTCCCTTAAGCACTTAATCCAAAGTAAACAAAGAAAAAACCAGTAAACTAAATTTATTCCTCTTTTTAAAAAAACATAAGTCTCATGAAATTCAACGAAAAAGTAGCAGTAACACTCAATACAATTTCTGAAGTTGTTAATTGAGCTTAAATAACAAAACTGAATCAGAATACATTATTTTACAAGTGCTGCCAGCCTAATTTTGCACTATTTTTCAAACCATACCAAACTTCATACACCTCCCTATACAAGAAATACATGAAACCCTAAAGAATTAACTGACTCATCAAGAAACTATGGTAAATACATCCGATTCGTTACGTCCCTATTAGAAACAAAGCAGATCAAAGACACCAAATGTGTATCACCAAATACAAATAGAGGTCTGCAAGTAAACGACCCAAAAGAGGCTTCAAAATTTAACTACTACCCATGCCGAAAAAATTACACACTACGCTATCGCCATCATAAGAAATCAACAGAAAAAATGTGCCTTAAACCTCATCCCTATTATTCACAATCAAGTAACTTTCTGGTCTATTAAACTTCCTCGCTACCCGCAAGCAATACGGGACAGTTATACAGCCGCACAAGAAAAACTAGAGTTCTAGACGTGATCCAATTCTACATCAAAATCAAAACAAATATATCCAAAAGAGAGGCGATCATTTACAAATTAAGCTCCGCCCTCGGCAATCCTGCTGCTCACCAACACGCAAACATTCTTCAATTTAACACTGACGCCAAGAAACAAATTTTCTCTCGCTGTTAATGTCTAAACCAACCAACAAGTGGCTTCAATTGAAATAAGAGGCGTCCTACTACTCTAATTCTACGTATACAACCAATTTACTACTACTATCCTGACTTTGTAAAGCTGTAAAAAGTTAGCGGCTACTACTTGATGCTCAGCTGCGACACCATTCAACTTAATGTTGGAGGGACGCTCTACACTACGACAAAGAAAACTCTTTCCAGAGAATCAAATACGTTCTTTACAAATCAGCTCTTTTCAAATTTTCTGCGTATGTCGGATGGCTCCTTTTTTATTGACCGAAACGGACAGATTTTCAGTTACATTCTCGACTACCTTCGATGTGGGAAACTTATTGTACCCCGAAATTTCCATGCTTTCGAAAGCTTATATGAAGAAGCTAAGTTTTACGGTCTAGGCGAGCTGAAAAAACAAATAGAAATACTAGAACGACGATCAACTATCCCACGACAACCTACTAAATCTGAGAGTTCAGATTCGCCTTGCAGCAGCGCGAGGAAACCAGGTTGTCAAACTTTTTACCAACATTTCATTTAATTCTGAAAGTGTAGAATCACATAGACACCGTACAAATTTGTAACCATAAGAAATGAAACGAATAAAAATGAAAGTGAGAGTAGATTTTAGAAAAATAAAAATAAAAAAAGCAGTAAAATAAAGGCAGCCAGATTATAATATGAAAACTTTATGGTAAGTATTGGTTAGAATTGTAAGTGCACCAAAAACCCAGCAGTAGTTCAATCCCTATATTTATTTTATTGAAATGACCAAGTTGCAGGATTTCTGACACTTGGCTATAGAGGAACGTTTGCATTTGGAAGAGACGGCCAAACAGATGTGAAATTCCGAAAACTTTACAGAATACTCGTTTGCGGAAAAGCTTCATTGTGCAGAGAAGTTTTTGGTGACACCTTAAATGAAAGTCGAGACCCTTCAGATAGAGAAGGATGCGAACGTTACACTTCAAGACTTTATTTGAAACACCAATGTCTCGAAAAGGTTTGTTGCACTAACTCTAAAATGTTATATTGAAATGACACTAAAAAAATGACCAGAAAACACCATCTACTTAGATTTAGATCTTTTTTCCCTACAACGTAAATGAGATGGACATTGGAATATATTGAAATGACTGTCTAAAATCGACATAAAATTTTAAAGCAAAACAAAAATGACCCCTTCATTCTTTCATATTCCATTTTTTTTCTCCCCCCCCCCCCCCC